AGTGGGGACATAATTATGGATTATAATGACTTATACTGTCTTTTTACATTACGCTTTGCATCGCGCCGCGTAAACATAAATGTCTGCATTTGTGATCGGAGAAATGACAAACTACAAACGCTACTCTACACTGCTCAAAACTCGCATTTGAATCATCAGTGGCAAATTCTTTAAATATTAAAAAAAACGTACTTTCTGTCTGAGTCAGAACAGCCGGCATTGTAGTCTACTCTAGCAGGATCAGGAAACAGTCCTCCATAAAATGCACTGGACATCGTAATATTTGGTTTGAAGTGTTCTGGAACAGTGTTGTAAATACAACTTAACCACTGATTCCTAGTCATGTCCTCTTTTGGAAGACCAAACAAAGTAGTTTCGCTTTCACATGAAACACAGCGTCACACACGGCTGGCTAGAGTGAGCGGCGGCTGGAGGCCTAGAGTGAGCGGATTTTATGTGCCCTTATTTCATGTGCTGCTTCACTCTGTTCTCAGGTCTCTGCTTTGGATCAGGAGATAATTGAGGTTGATCCAGATACCAAGGAAATGCTGAAGACTTTTGTAAGTTGATTTGACTGTAGTTTGTGTAGATGAACTGCGAAAATGTAATCCTGTGTTTCCAGTGCTGTAATGGCTGTATTTTACAGCAGTGGTGAAAGTCAGTGGTTCATAGTGAATAAATTAAGAGAACAGCTGTCAAAATATTCTGGAAATAACATGCAAAATATTGACGTGAAATAAAACAAAAGGTCGTCATTCAAGTGTTAATATTCAGACTTGAATTGAGGAACCCACATTAACCCATTCTTTCTCTCATTGCAGGACTTCGGCAACATCTCCAACTTGCAGGTCACCCAGCCAAGTATTGGAATGAACTTTAAAACACCCAGAGGAGTCTAGATGTGTAATTTATCAGAAGTCAATAAAGACTGCAGAAAAAGAACATCGTTGTGTTTGAACAAGTCATTTTTGATCATCTGGATGATCATTCTTCTACTGACAACACTCTTTATGACACTGGATCTGGCCTGTTCAAGTTGTAATACAATGCAGTTACGCCTTGTTAAAGCAAGTTTTAAACTAGCTTGTACAAAAGAATTTCTGAAATGTTAATACAGCACAGCTATACAACAGAATCTGATATGTAAATGCAAAAGACATGCTCCATATGTTAAATGCTTAACCTGTGCTGTGCCAGGTGTTCATTATTTCTCCATTACTATGGGGAAAGCTGGTTTTCATATAAAGTCATGGAAATATAACAGACATTTCCAATTGCTCAATTTTAGCCATTTCTAACCAGTGTTTGGAGAATGATGGTAAAAAGTCCTTCAGTAATCAAGAACGACCAGAAAAGTGGGGTATTTTAAATGGTGAGGGACACCTGGAAAACAAAATCGCGTTTCAAAAGAAGTGCATGCAAGTAAAGGAGAACCAAAGGCAGTGTTCTTAGTATTTTTTTTTTTTTAAAAGCCACAGAATTTCTAGAGACAGCAAGAAGATCTTTGTACAGAAATAAGCAACAACAGAATTCTGCATATGCAACACAGTAAAACCTGCCGCTCAAATATTATTTCGGAGGCAAAAGAACAAATAAGACCAGCTGCCTATGCTAAACTATGACACTACATTACACAAATAGAGCTTTATATTCAAAACACAGGATATGTAAAAATTTTTTTTTTTCTTTTCTTGAAATTGTTGAAAAAGTGCAATAAAGGTTTGACTGTCTACAACTTGATAGGTTCTCCCAAATAGGTCATATTGTTTTTACCAAGCTTTTTAACAAGTTCCTATAATTACCCAGAATTTCTTAGTCGGAATGACATTCAAGAAAATGTTCAAGGAGACATTAAATTCATAAAACAAAATGATGATTGCTGTTACATATTTTCTTTGGGTAAAAGTACAGATCAAAACCATATCCAGCAGGGGAGGAGCAGTTGAGATTTTTACCTCACACATTAACATTCTATACAAGTACTTCATATGGAAAATAAAAGATGAGCACTAGGAGTTCTGTATAAAAGTCTGTTGCATTTGCACTTTGTTGCTTTAAGTGCCAAGAGTGTGGTCTGTAAAATCTCACAGTGAATGTTGTCATTCATTCATTGGGTTTATGTAAGCTCCGATACAAGAATTCAGACCAATGCAGCAAAAGGAAATAAACCATATAAAGCACTTTCCAATGTACCAAATGTGTTCATTTAGCAGTAACATGTAGAACCTGAAGTCTTGAGTTTAAGCACCAAGTCTGACAGCATGCATGATGAAGGTCTACGTTCTCGTACCACCGGACTGAGTGACCAGTAACAGTTCAGCATTACAGAATAAATATCACAGTGCTGTGTGATAAACATTTTGAAAATATTTCCCAGTTGTACTGATATCTGTCATTCCACACCAATTTAATAAGGCATTTCTGAAGGAAACTCCCATTTAAAACAGCCATAATGTAGAAGGGGGACGTGACGTTGCAAACTGCAAAAATCCATTCTAATAGCAAAAGTAAAAAGATGTCTCTGACTAAGCGGAAACTGTCGTGAGAGGTCAAAAACATTGCTGTGGTGACGAAATGAGTCTATTTTAAACATATATACAAACTGATAAGTGTATATGCATATAAAACAATACAAAATATGTTTAAGAAAATAAGACATGGCACATTATATGACATACGAAATAGACATCAAATTAAAACGCTTAATACAAAACGAGTTGCAGAAATAAAAAGGACAAAAGGATGATGTCCAACGTTCAGCTCACTGGAACGGGGGCAATATATATAGATACAAAAACATACAAATGAAACACTGTAAATTGTGCCTTACACGCACCAACACGTACACCAGCATAATGTAGTTTTCCGTTTTTCGTAGGATAATAAAATGGTGTCTTTTCAAACGGTCTCCACTGAAACATAAGGAAACGTTTTAAGATGCTGAGAGAAAAATCACAATCATCTGGTTGAAGTAACCACGTCCTTTCTCAGAATGTCCACTGTCCTCATTTGATGGGTTTCTCCTTCCTGAGAGTAAGCAAGGTATGCCAAACATTAGTGTTTTTTTCCTATCGCACTCTCAATTTAGCAAATGATTGAGAACTCCTCCGTGCTGTACGTCCTCCCTGTGACAGGTGAGGTCTAGTGTTATTGTGAGGATTGTGCTCAGGCTGTCGTGATGGCGTTTAGGTCCTTCATTAAGCCCTCCAGATGGGCCATTTCCTCGGTCAACTCGTCTGTCTCGTAATTCTGAGGGAGATGAAGAAGGTTACTGCAGGGGGTGGGGTTGGGGTGAGCTGTGGTTTGGGGAACTGGGTTTATGAGGGGATGGTCAATGGTACTGCAGAAAAAAAAGCAGGAAATCAAATAGCACAGCCACATGCGTGGTAATGGATGAAGGGGTACAGTAATATTGTGCAGTATGCAGGATAAACGAACCAATCAGCAGTTTTAATTCAGTTTAAGAAATTGCAAAATTACAATAAGCGAAATAAGCAATAAATACAGCCGTTAAAAGGGAGAAGCAGGTAAAGGTTTGAGAGAGAAGAAAAAGATGTAAAACATTTTATTATTAGCTTTTTGTAAATTTAAATATATTCTATATGTAACAGTATACTCAATATGTAACAGTATCGCTAGAACAACATGGTATGTAGCATAGTACATGACATTGTGGTAGCTCAAACAGTAGAGCACGGCACCAGCAACACCAAGGTCATACGTTTGATGTAAAATGATAAAATGTATACCTTGAATGCAATGCCAAATGTCGTAAATAGATCATTTCTACTATGCAGTACATTGTCATGTCCCTATCATAATAAATTAGATAGAACACATTTTTGGAGCAGATGGCTGACTTTGGCTCCTTACTGATATCCTGATGTTGCCACTGTATAAATAATCAAACTACGTTTAATATAGTTAAAGCTCCTAGAGGAGAACGAAAATACTAATAACATTAGCATATTTTTGCATGTTACAGAGTTACTGCATAACAGAAATGACTCAAGTGTGCATGGTTTTGTTCTAAGAGTCATAATGTACAGAGAAAAAGTAGTACAGAGCATTATAGGAACAAAAGTACTCACACTCCCTGCATCTTCATGCAGCCTGCTGCTTTCCGAGACATCCGGTGCACTTGGAACTATGACAGGCATGGGAGTTCTTGTCCTTCCCAACGTACCAATAGAGGCTGTTTTAACTGAGTGAGGTCCTAAAACAAATCGCAGAAGTCAGTCTTGTCTTTCTGCCTTTTAACCATGAAACATTGTGCTATTCATTATAAAGATGCACAAACCATTAAGTTCTTTTTTGAACACTTGGGAGTTTGACAACTATATCCAAGGTACTGGAATAAATTCGTTTTCTATTTAAAAGACAGAACATTTTCCATCAGTCAATATGTCTTCCTCTTCAGCCACTCTAAACTGTGGTGCCCCACAAGGCTCTGTTTTAGGACCTATTATATTCTCACTGTATATGTACCATTTAGGCTCAATATTCCACAAACCTTTCTTATGCTATAAATGCTTTCATTTTGAACTTGGAAGAAGGTACATCTTGGTTGGAAAGATTTTTTTTAAGCTCAATGCTGATAAGATATTTATATCCTCTTAACTCCACCAATGAAATTACCTTAGCTTAGCTTGCAATTTAATGAATGTACCTGACTATATTAATCTTTAAATTTAATTTTAATGAATCTTTTATAAATATTGTTATGCTAAAAGTCATTATTTTAGACACCGCAGATTGGATCACCCAATAAGGATGGAATATCTAGTGTGAAGGGGAACTTACCTGTCTGAGATAGCAGTGGAGTGCTGGGTAATGCTGCCGAGTCATACATGGGGTAAGCTGGGATGGCAGGCACTGCAAAACTCTTGAGCGGGTGCGTGGGACGAACGTGTGCTATGGGTGTAGTGAATGCTGGCTCCTCCTCAGTGGCTGAGCTGTGGTAGCTAATGTCTGTCTCTGAAAGGTCAGTGGTGCAGGAGGGCTGCCCAGACGGAGGGAGCAGGTCAGCACTAGGGGTGTTCCTTACTGACTCTGTAATTACAACAGCACTGCATTCTATTACACACGTGTTGCATTCAAGCAACCTTAAAGATCATGAGAAGCCTGCTGGGAAAAAAAAAACCAGGTAATATGTCAAAGAGGTCAGACCTAAATGTGAGGAGGTGGAATACTCTCCTTCTGAAACAACCACTTTTGAACAATCTTTTTTTGACTAGGATGTGGGGACTGAAGGTGAAAGTCCTGAGCATCTTGATGTATCCCAATCTTAATGTTTCTTTCTCAAATGTATTGTTCTTTGGTATTATTGCCATAAGATTTATTACATTAATGTTAACAGTATTGAAACTCTCCAACTATTGGCAAAATGTGAACTTGCAGTCGATTGTAAGAAAGGGGTGGGTTTAGGTGGATTAAATGACTGGAAAAGTCCAGCAAACAACATTAGAGAGAAGTCTGATGTTTCACCAGAAAATGGAGTTAAAATGTGTTTATTAAAAATGATGAGGTCAAAATAGTGAACAAATGAAAACGACATGGACGAATAGTTTACAATAAGGTCAATTACATCAACATAGAAAACAGATTTTCATTTCATGCTGACTTTAAGAAAATAAATAGGGTAAATTTTGATTTCATGTTGCCTTTAAATTGGTGAAGATGGTTTTTGGAACATGGTTATTTGCTTTGTTGCTGGCCAAAGTTGGTCTACCAGCTCTAACCAGCTTGACCAAGACGGTTCACCAGGTTGAAACAGTAAATGACAAAAAAATACAAAAAAATGACCCACTTACCCTAGCAAGAAACCATGAAAAAACAGCTACCACCTAATGTTGGTTTGGGCTGAATTTTCCAGCAGGGAATACTGGAAGCAATTCAAATGTTACAAAGCTCTTGTCTAAAGCAAGTGCTAAAGAAGGAGGTATGTTCTCATCAAGAGATAAAGGGGAAAATGAAGAGAGATGGAAAGTTTCACTACAATCCTATGGTCACCAACCAAGTGTACCTCCATGTTAAGAGAGAAAAAAAGAACATGACTTTAAGCTTCATAAAGAGTGACTCAACATGGGCTAACACATTTGATTCCAGGCATGATGAAGGTCTTCACAAAGTCCCACTTATGCGCTCTCACCTGTGGACTCTGCCCTGTCTAGATGAGAGATGGGGGTGGCGATGGACCGCGTGCTGCTCTGGTGGTGGAGATAGCTGCGTGTTGGCGAGGCCAGGCTGCCCAAGTGATAATGATGGTGATGGTTATCGAGGGAATGGATGGGGTGAGCACTAATCACAGCTGCGAATGGACACAAATAATACAGCGCCATGGTTTAGACCTTGCGCACAAAGCTATGGGATTATGGAAAGCATGGTGCATCTATAACATTTGCTCATGCAAACAAAGAACAACAGACTGAAAGACACGCTATGTTGCTAGGTTAAAGAATTTTTTGTAGGGCTAGAAACATACTCTAGACAAGTATGCAAATGCAGATGCAAATTCTTGGCTAACCTGTTCTTTCGTTGCTGTGGTGGTAATCTAACTAACTTTAACTAATTTGCTGAGCAATAGACCATTGTTCTGCCATGGCAGCAGTTGACCTGAACATTCTGATGCATTTCAAATTGTACTTGAGTAGAGTATGTTTTCTGGCCTACAACTACAATAATGAACTCAGGGAACCTTGTTTGAGAAGCATATGTTATTCCAAAGAGCATAAATTGTTTAATATCCTAACTGAAAGAAAAGGGGCCAAATTAAGGGTGTCCGGTCCCTGGTTCAGGATCGCACACTTACGCTGAGGGAGTTGTGCATCAAAGGGCATCATCATTTTAGGTCTCATTCCCCGACGGCCTGCCAATGTAGACATGCTGTCCTCTGATTCATGGCCTGTAAATCAGACAGTGACCAGCCAATCAGATTGAGAAAGGCTTACCCACCCAACAGGCTCCCAATACAAGAGCCATATGAAGACAACCAGCTGACTTTCTAGAGTCAGTTGCCAAGATCATGTGATGTTTTCACTATTGCATTGGGATTCTATTGTTTGTCCATTAGAGGGCAGTGTAGACACACATATCAGGAGAGCAGCAGGAGCTGTAGGAGAGCAGCAGCAGATGGACATCACCATTCATGCCATGAAAACAAAAGGCTGCAAGTTTTTCCATTTTAGACAAGTAACATGCCAATCACAAGAAATAATGACAAATAGTAGACATGGCTTTGAAGCATCCTTCAGAAGCAGCAGCTGGAATGATGTCATGGATTATGCAGCAGGTGAAGGCAATTTAAAGACCCCATGAAATGGTAACATCTTTTTTCCTGTGTTGATGGATGTTTTCCTACTGAAACAGGAAGTTGGGGCTGGACATATCAAAGAGGCTTTTTAGGCAGCCTTAAGGCGGTCGCACACGGACGAGAAGTGCAGCGCAGCGTACGCACACCGGAGGCGCCGTTTGGCGTCTGTCCGCGGCGCCCAGCTACGTTGTGTTGTACTTGTTGTACGAATTGTTCTAGACGTGGTGTGGCGCTGTGTTTCTCGTCCGGTGTGCGACCGCCTTTAGGTTTACATCATAGCTACTTGCTACTTATAGTCAGTTGTAGATGGTATTGAAGGAGGGTTCTAGTCCGTTTTCCGAAGAGGAAAACTATGAATACGTCAAAAAATCTCCAGTTTGGGAGTTCACTAGTATATAGATGGCCTTAACAGACAAAACTCTTTGCGTTTTGATTTCATGGGGTCTTTAAATCAAAGTTCTTACCATGGTAGGAGTTACGTCTCTGGAGCATAGGATCCATAGAGCCATCCACCGGGGTGATGTCTTGGGAGGTTCGGGGGATTGGTGTGTCAGTCATGACTGGATTGGGTTCAGGCGATTTGTCGATAGGTTTTAGCTCCAAACGTTCGTGGTGGATCCAGAGGTCTGGTGGCTTCAGATCTTTGGAATTGCCCTTATACTTGTGGGATCCATTGGCGGACTTGCAGGCTGCACGTTTCCTGGAGATCATATCAAACAGTTTGAGGGAAGCTTGTGGCAATCACATTTACCCTCACGCCAGGACTGAGTATTAGGACTTTTCGTCAAAAGGAGATCAAAACTTGAACTTTGTGAGGAACTTACTTTTTCTGCTGTGTTGTGGTACGGCGTGTACACAGGAAGGCGCCAACCACCACCAGGATGATAGTAAATGCACCCACAGACACAATTATGACGATAACAAGGATGTGGTTATCACCAGTGCCAGACATAGACATATCTGTTTTCCCTGAAACATGGAAAATCTATGGTTATAACGTTACAAGAAAAGGAAAATTTGTCAAGGCAAACTTTGAATGTTGGTTTGTCAAATTCTCGCTTGAAAGTTTTAAAAACTTTTTAAAGCCTTAAATGTTTATGAAAGAATGGCCTGACAGACAGAAATATAGAGGTAATTGGTTGAGTTTTGCTATGGGGTTGCTAAGTGTTAATATGTTGTTCATAAGGTGTTTCTACATAGCCACTAGGGTGTTGCTAAGTGGTTGCTAGGTTGTTATTAAGGTGTTACTAGGTTGTTGGGGTGGTTCCTAGGGACTACTGGTTGGTTGCGGTATTTTTGAGACCTTCCTGGCAGGTTAAGATTCTTAAATATATTTTTTTGGTTTAAATATATATTTTTGGTGGAGTTTTTAATCCACCAATCAGACTCAAGAAGCTCAACGCTGTGCTTGTACTGTGCATTGTTCCATGACCGGGTCCTTGATGTAAACACATTTTAATGGGTACTCTTTTTTTAGAACCTGATTACAATTTCTACAAAATCACATTATGATTTATATAGTTCGCAAAAAATACAGCTACCCGTTTAGCCTGCTGCCTTATACACCAAAGTTGCACATACCCTGTTTATTCAGACCAATCTGTAATGTTATTAAATAAGTGTTAAATGTCCAGATATTTCATTTAATAACAACAATTATGTAATGTGTTCTGTTGTTGTTGTTATTAGTAGTAGAAGGCTATCAGATTCGCAGTAACTTGATCAGGCATTAAAAACAGCTACCACCACCTAAGGGAGATTTCGAACACACAGCGGAGAGATTTCAGCATGGAGGATGAAAACCAGACTCAACGAGTGAGTAAAGTCGTTTTTTTATCTGATGGCGTTGAGCTTCTTCACTCTGTTCAGTAAGGAGCGTTTTGATTGGTGGATTAAAAACTCACCGCGACTTGGATTAAAAACTCACCATAACTTCATTGGCTGAACGGAACATTTTCCAAAAAAAAATATTTATGAATCTTAACCTGCCAGGAAGGTCTCAAAAATACCGCACACAAATTCAAAGCAGTCCACGCACGTGTGACGATTTGCAAATGCAGATTCAACGATCCATAAATACACGTAACATCATTCATAAATGTGTGATGGAAATTAATTCAAGAACTTGTAACGTTCGGCTCTATGGGTCGAATTTACAATTGTTAAAATGGGGTCAGATTATACTGTGTGAGAACTTTGAGTGTTTAAAAAGATGAGACAGACAACAATGTTAAAAGTGAAAATCAAATATGCATTTACAATATTCACAGGGAACTTAAAACAACACAATAAAACTAGAAATCCTAGGCTGTTAAAAGCACAGAGACTTTCAGTTCCATACCATTAAAACAGTCCTTATAAAATCCAGCGTGTTGTAAGTTCCAATGTAAATATTGTAAATACATATTTGATTTTCACTTTTACAAATGTATTATTTTTCAGGCTGATCTGGCTCCATAATAGGGTGTTGCAAGATGCCACTAAGGTGTTGTTATATGGTTGCTAGAATGTTATGAAGGGTTATGAAGGGTTGTTGCTAGGTTATTGGGTGGTTGCTATGGCCTTTGCTAGATGATTGGTAGGGCACCTGACTCCTAACTCCCTAAGCTGGAGTTAGATGTTTTCTAAACGTTGCTAGAATGTTTGTTATTGATAAGGTGTCATGATTGCAAATGATTGCAAGATGCCGCTAGGGTGTTGCTTAGTGGTTTCTAGGTTGTTATTGAGGTGTTGCTAGTTTGTTGTGGGTGGTTACTAGGAACTAATGGGTGGCAGCTATGGCATTGCCAAGCCGTTTCAAGGTGTTTGCTAGGATGTTGTATGTTCTTCACAGGGCATTGCTAGTTGGTTGCAAGGCGATGCTAGGTGTTACTAAGGGGTTGCTAGGCTGTTATTAAGGCATATGTAGGGTGCTAGGTGTTCGCCGGGTAATAATATGGTGTTGATGGGATGTTGCTAGGTAGTTCCAAGGCACTGCAAGGGCATTGCTAGGTGGTTGCTAGCGACTACTGGGTGGTTGTTATGGTATTGCTAGGTGGTACTAGGTACAGTACTAAGGCGTTTTCTTGGTTGTTGCTATGCTACATCATTGAAAAGCCATTGCTAGGGGTTTTCTACAGTGTATAAACATAAAAAACAGCAATTACCAACTGATCCAAAACCTTGTTCTGGTGCAGACGGTCTTCCTGGTTTCACCAATATACCTGGAGCTACAAGAGGTCACATAAGAAAAATTGGCTGGTGGCACATTGGAATCTACAGCTTTTGTGTAAAGTTCACATTAAAACACATCCACCCATAACATGCAGTTTAAACCGATAAACCACAAGCTGTACTTCAGAGAAGAGCATCACTCTCATCATTTGACCAAAATGTGCTTGGGAAAAGACTGTTAGTAGTATGAAGTATTAGCCACGTGCATTTTGCTGATAAACTAGTAAAAATTATATATTTTCCTGCTATACACCAGCTGGATTTTTCCATGACTGCTGATACAGTTTAGTGTGCAGGGAAAACAAGCTGCTCACTTCAATTTGAGGACATTAGTGGAATAAGAGAAGAGAGAGCAATTACCTTGGTCATTAGCCATTTTGTCAGAGGATTCAGCTAGCAGGACAAAGCAGAAGGAGAGGAGACAGGTTAGAGGGGGAGAGGCGTGCAGTCAGAGCTAAGCAGGACCCTATGGGTGGCTTGTGCATGAGCCAGTATGAAAGTTTGGCGAGGTCAGGGTAAACGCAAAGGGTTAAGCTTTAGATTAGGTTAAAAACAGCGTATGTGTATATGGTAACTGAATACATTTCCCAATATTAAATCCTACTAATTATAATTTAGCAACCGAACCCTGCTGAAAAGAACAGCATGTAATTCCATACGTGTCCACTTTGGTTTAGGCTAGTTCATTATGGTCTATTTGGTCTCTTCTGGTTGATCAAGGACATCTTGCTGGTTAAGCCAGATAAGAAACCTGGTGGTTACACCAGTATCCCATTGTATTTTTGAAATCATAACCCAAAATATGGTGGTCTTTTCAGCAGGCAGCAGTGATTGTGATTATTCATCAACATGAATGAGCTGGTTTACCTTTAGGAGTGCGGAACTGGACAGCATCAGACATGGGACCCATCCCCTTAGAGTTACGCGCCTGGATCTTAAAGTAGTAGGTGGTATCAAGGGTCAGCTCCTGAATCTGATGGGTTAGCCTGTTCCCCACTACTGGCTCAATGACCCAGTCATGAACCTCTGCATTCACATCAGTGCTGTAGTAAATGATGTAACCTGGGAAGGCAGAGAAAAAGTGATACAAGGGCACATTGTAATGATAAAACAGGCAAGTTAAATCATCACTGTCTCTAACTGGTGATATATTTTTAATCTAACTTTGGCACCTGTTATCTTGCCATTGGCTTCTGAAGGTGGCTGCCAGTTGACGATGATGGTTCGTGGTCGTCCCTCTTTGCTCACTACAGTCACATCTTTAGGTGCAGAACTTGGGACTGGGGAGAAAGATAAAATAAATGAAGCCTACAAATGCAGAAATACCCTCACACTTTATGTAAATGTAAAGTTTATTGTTCATTGAGTACATTTACATGTACAACAACACTACTTGATGAGTCATTAAACTGAAACGATGAGGTCGCAACCTGTCCCATCTAAAGTACATACTTGTTTCAAAAGTTGTTCCATGTGCAGTCATGCTCCAGGTGCTGGTCCTCCGGCCCTTGGTCACCATGACCGAGAACTCGTATAAGGTGTTAGGTTTAAGACCAGTCACAGTGTGAGTTAGTGTGGTAGTATTAGCCACCTAAAATTAATAAATCAATGTCAGTGCTATAACAAGCAAAGATTCTCCTCCTTATTCTGTTGGCAGACGCTGTGAGGAGCCTAGATTCTGCTAACCATACCTTAAACTTTGTGTTTGCAGGTATGTTGGTCTTCCAGCGCACTGTGTAGTAACGTGCATCTGTGATCTTCTGGTTCTTGGGCAGCGAGTTGTCCGCCCAGGTGACTTTGATGGTGTCGTGGCTCAGAACGGATGCCTGAACGCCCACTGGAGGCAGCATGGGTAAAGGGTCTGGTACTGGAGTGTATGGAGCATGGAAAAGTTCGTACAAATCAACATCAGGGTCTATGGGGTCTGCAAGCAAATTACACAATGTCCCATGGTAAAAAAATTAAAAGGTGAAAGGTGAAAAAAGGTGAGCGCGATTACACGTACAAGGGGAGGGTTTTAGGACGGGAGACATGTAACAAAGGGGGAGAACGGATTAATGGGTTAAAATGGGAGGCGAGGATGGGGGGATTGTGGAGGTGGGATTGGGAAAGGAGAAAGAGAGAAATATTGGATTAGAACAGAATATCAAGAGACAGTCACAAAACCATCCAGAGCTACAGCTACATCTACAATGAGTTGAGGAACTACATCAGCTTGGTTCACTACCAGCTACATCACAAATAAAGGAAGAAAACAATCAGTCAGACAGTGGGAGTTCATATACACAGAGCCTGGAATATAGTGCACAGCTGCTGAATTGTGAGCAAAACGGTTAGGACTTTGCTGATAGACCTTAGACTCTTAGAATTTTACATGGATAAAAACAATGCTGTTAGGGATAAACTACAGTTTTTTACAATAAAGTGCACTGGATAATGGTCCTATATCACACTTATATACTTTTTTGATACTCATGATTCCTCTCTAAATGCCAATGTCAAATGTTAGAACTGCAATTAAATTTACTGTCCCTTATAGGCTATGTATTGCAGGGTTAGAAAATCTCAAATTATTATGTGTGCTTCAAGATCTTAAGTGTTCAGCTAATGAAAAAAGGTTTAGATCTGTTGCTTTAATTAATAAAGCTTATACCGCAATTTAACCAGATTCACAGAAGGAAGCAAATGAAAAGGTTTTTATTTTTCTTTCCTGTCTATTAATTTTTATTTGAGGTGTGGAATCAATGACCTTGTCTGAGTCAAGGTTTTGGAGATGCACTTTTTTTTTTTTTTTTGATTATTCACCAAAGCTTTCAGATCATTTCAATGTGTGATGCAGCTCTGGTTTTACTGATATGATTGTGTCAAATACCAGCACAACAAATAAGTCTGGAAGTCTGATCCTTTTTATAGATTTAAAGCAGTTTGCCTGCCTTAAATCACCTGCGTTCCTAAGCGCTCCCTCCAAGAATAACAATTTGGAGTGGGAAAATATGCTCACAGGCTTTTATATGTGTGAAACTGAGAACATATTATTTCTGGCTTGAACATTTAACTGTTTTCAAATGGCAAAGTGGGCTATTTTCCACAGTGATGAAGCAGCCCCATTGTGAGCACTATGTGAGGTTGAGCTCTGCTTGTTCTCTGGAATTCTGTTAAAGAGTGGAATGTAAATAGATTCACTGTCGAACTAGCATGCAATGCCTAACAAAACACTACAAATAAAATGCAAAGTATCACACTCTTTAGCATACAGTAATTCACTCACTGATTTCCTGGAAGTGCTGCTTTTCATAAAGTAACAGAACATTACAAAAAATCTCTAATTTTTTGTTAAATGTGTATGTATATTCTGGTACTCTCAGAAGAGGCAAAACTGTTACCTTTATCTGTTAGTATAGATTACAACATTCTGTCTTAACGGTGGAAGAGACGCTCTGCAGGAGATCTTCAACGCCCCTGCAGCAGGTTTCGTTGAGTTCAGTTAAAGGTAAACCAGGTGAAATGAGAAATGCCATGTAGCACATTGCATGCTGGGAGGTAATAAGAGTGTACCATCGATCAAAACGGGAGGTGAGAAATTATCCGGAATTCAGAAAGTGGCCAGCTTCAGTTTTTCACTCTTTCATTCCCTATGCAGTGTGAATCAATTCAATTCAAATTTATTTGTATAGCGCTTTTCACAATACACATTGTTTCAAAGCAGCTTTACAGAAAACCAAGTTTCAAGATTTTTATTCGTCACATACATGTGCATGTGTCTACATTTCAAGTTCTTTTTTCAAGAATCAAGTTCTTGGCACTCTTAATGTATTATTGGCCATATTATGGACCTTAGTGAGCATAGACACCATATTTAATTTGATGCTAATAAAAACTAGCCAGTAAGGGATACAGTAGTTATTATTGTATAGCCATATTGTTAAATAACCACAACATGTTGGACAAATTGTGCAGCCCTACAGACAGGCACAGTAAACCTGATTTTTAAAAAAAAATTTTTTATCACATTTTAAAATGCAATCACAATTAAGATTTTTCCCAAAAATCGTGCAGTCCCACCTTGCTGTCAACTATTCAGTAGTCAAAATATTTCCAAAGGAAAAAAAAGTATGTCCTAAACCTTTCAGATGAAATATAAAACCAAAGTATGTTGATAAATTATTGGTTAAAATGGTACTTAATCCTAATTTTTGACAACATGTAGAATGTTTCTAGTTAGCTAAACTCTTTATTGAATCGCCATTGGCTAGTAAATTTTTTAGTTTACTTGCCAGACTCAGATATATATATTTGTTTGTAAAATGGCATGTAAAGTGAAAGTACACTCTTAAAAAAATGAAAGTACACTCTTAACATCAGTCAGTCAAGCATTATAGTATGATAATCAATATTATTTAATGATAGAACTTTAGTAATTAGAATTAAAACTTGATAACCATGTATGAATGCATATTAGTCATTTTAACCGAACTTCTGACTGGTGGTGGTGCTTTTTTGGTCATTCAGTGTTTCTGTAAAAAAAAAAAAATGGGGGAAAAACTAACAAAAAATACTGATAAGATAACAATGATACGAATTCTACTAATAAGAACAATATAAAACGCACCAAGGATTAATGAGCTACTGGATTGATGAATATTAATCAGGTTGTGTGCGTTCGCTCGAACTGATTTGCTGAAATCAAAACAGGGACGATAATAGGTGAGCACCAGCCAATGAGATTGCAGCTTGCGCATTAGCTCCGCCCACTACTGGAGAAAGCGGCAGTTCTTAAAAGCTGAAGAATTCCAAAGGAACTCCGTTATTTTGACAGCAAAATATAAATAAAAAGAATATAACAAAGAATATTGTTTACATGTAGCGCCATAGGTAGAGCGTCAATTCTCTCTCGCTGCGTGTGTGAGAAACAAAGTGACGGCGAGTCGTGCACCATTTACACTAGAGTTTACGGTACGTTAAATGCAGGTGCGTTGCACATCCATTCAGTTGAACTGAAACACAGCACAGATCGTTTGACGGAGTGTAAAACTCTGAAGCGCTCAGTCAGAGAGTGTTCGGCGAGTGAAAATATATCTGAGCTAAACTTAAACTTAGCCTCCAACTCACACACTGGCGAGTAAAATCTGAGAATTTATTAGCAATTGGCTAATATTAGACATCTAGTCGCCAGAGTGAAGATTTAGTCGCAATGTAGAGGGTTGTA